GTCTGGAAAGAAAACCACGGGACCAAAATGATGCGACTTATCCTAAGGCCGCATGTCAGTAAACCAAGATTGAATACCTCACCTGAAGGCAGTTTCAACCTCCCCAGGTCGGGAACCTGTAATCAGCCAGACTGTAATTCCCTCATCGACCCTGGGAGGCAATCCCCTGGGGGACCCCTTCCCCTGAGGGGGCCTCGCCTAAACCAGGCCTTCCTTATTAATAAAGTCCTTTATTTTTCATGCCCTCTCTCTGCCTTTAAATCCTTTCCGTTTCTGCAGCTCAGTGGGTGCTCCCCTCTACTTGCTGGACGGGATGCTGCCCAATCGGTGAATCATTTCATAATGCCAGTCACAGCTTCGAATGTTATTTATTTTAACGGGTCTGAGGATGACTGGACTCCCAGTCACCTGGGCAATTTTTAGCTGTGTCAAATACCTGTTGGTCACCAGAAAACAAAAGGATGCCAAACTGGCGGATGCTAAGTTAATCAGTTTGTCTAGGAGTCAAGTAAGATGACAGAAAGTATTTGAAGTGGTCCCGAGACACAGGAAATGCTCCCAAATTACACTCAAGATCATTGGGTCCCCCCAGCTGCCTTGTTTCCCAGTGGAAGCAAACGACTACTTACTGGAGGTTTTCACCACTGCAGGCCGCCCGGCTCTGGCCAGTTGGGGCTTCTCTGTGGCTCTGAGTGCTGGGCAGGTCCCGGGATATCAGTGACTCAGGCAAAAGACTGGAAGCACCCAGACTGAGATGTCCACACTGATTTGGGGGCAGTGGTAGTTTCCCAGGGGTAGAGAATAAGCCATAGATTTAACCTCAAAATCATTTAAGGAGTGATCGGCCAAGCTTGAATCATGACTTATAAAAGGCCCTGAGACCTATAGTTGGAGACAGAGACCTTTCCATATTTTTTAAAGTTTATTTACTTATTTTGAGAGAGCAAGTGAGCAGGGGAGGGGGAGTGAGAGAATCCCAAGCAGGCTCTGCATGGTCATCGCAGAGCCCGATGTGGGGCTTAAACCCCGTACTAGTGAATATTGACCATGAATTGTAGGGCCATTACAACTCCCAAATAAACAAGAATCACTGATGAAATGGAAGGAGCATGGAACCCGATAAGAAGCTGCCTTAAATCTTGAAGGACAAGCAGGAAGATGTCATCCCTAGAGGGAGGGACACTTCAGGCACGAAAGAACATGAACAATGACCCTGAAATGTTTGCAAGATAATAAAAATAGAGCACGAGCAAGAAAGGGTGAACCAGTACATGAAATGTTTGGCAAGAAGTGACGAAGACACAGAATGAGGAGAGAAGGCAATGCCTTTGAGGGCTGAAGCAAGGGGTTGTGGCACTAAAACGATGCGGCACTCGAGGGAACCATGATACTTAAATTCACAAGATACTGTCAGTTTTATGATGGGGGCTGGTCATTTTCAGTGACTGAAAATCCTTTGTTCCCCATTTGGAGCACCCCTTTCTTTCAAAGTATCACAGAAGCTGAATCTGATCAAAGAAATTCTTGCCAGCTGATCCCACCCACCCCCAACTCAGATTTCCTGTTGATCTAGGGGTCTACATTGTTGATTTGCAAGTGTTAATCTAATCTTAGTAACTGAAAAGCCATTCTAAGACCATAACTCAGTGCCTAGGATGCCTGGGGGTGGCTGAGCTCTCTGAACTAGGCGCTTAAGGAGGACTAATATTCATGAAGTGTGTATCTTTTCATAAGAGGCATCAAATCAAGGTAAAGTAATATTTGGGACTTGTTTTATTGCTGCTATTAACACATTCTCTACTTTTATCCCTCTCTTGACTTCCTTTTCCACACGGTTTATGGTCCTCACTCCCCAGTCCTGCTCCCGGAATCTATCTGGGCAATTTGTGCCTTTATGATGGTTCTGGTTGCCATGGCAGCACCAAGATTTCGAAGGACCCTGCCTGATGCTTTGTAGCTTTAAGGTCTGGGCAGTTCTTTGCTGTGGGCCGCTTAGCATTCATGTCAAGGAGACACATACAATATTCTGTCTACTCTTCCCCAATATTTATGTCTGATTTCCTCTTTGGCTAGAGCTAGACTTTTCAGAAGTTTCAGTTACCCCATTGGGAACTTTAAAATTGGGGGGATTTAGGTTTATTGGCAGCAAACTGCTTGGCCATTTCTAAACCTAATGAAGTGGTGTGGACGCCACCTGGTGGTACTTGTCAACTCTGACATAAATGTCCACGAAGCTCTTGGCATTGGGAACTTGGAGTTCACAGGGTAGAGGAAGCCGCCCTTGATAGGGTCCTGTGAAGTGGGAACTTGCTGCCTTTGTGACTTCATCACTTGGGAGAAACTTTCATATCTGATTTAAAAACGTTGATACTAAAAGTGTGCTGATCTTTTGACAATCACCTGCTCAGAAGGCCTTCATGTTCTGAAGCACAAACCAGAGATTTTTCAGATGAGGACGTTGACACCGATTAAATCGTCCCCCAGACCCACAGGGGCAGACCCTTCTTTTTGAACCTAGGTTTGTCTGATGACAAAGTCCCAGCTCATTCCAGGACACCACAGTGTAAGTACTATACGCTTAGTACCACTTACAGTGTACTTAGCGCTGGGCTAAGGTGTACGCTCACAAAGTTGAAAGAAGAGGGGTGTAAATGGAGCACGATTACTGTACTTTCTGAGGATAGAGGAGAAAGCCTCAGGGCTGTTACTACCCATGATGTCTGGGCTGGTACTTCTGAAATTGTAATGTGCCTACAAACCACCTGGAGGCTCTTGATAAATTGTAGATTCTGACTCAATGGTTCTGGAGACAGTCCTGAACTTCTGCATTTTTAATAAACTCCTAGGTGAGGCTGACCTGCTTGTCTACAGGCCACACTTCGGGTCTAGAGTGGACTTCAACTGCGGTTTGGAGCAGGGAGCAAATTCACCCCCCAGAGGACATTTGACAAGGCCTGGAGATTTTTTGGTGTCACTGCTGGGGTGAAGGGACAGTGCTACTGGCTTTGGTAAGTAGAAGCTAGGGGTGCTGGTCTCCTGAGATAGCATGGCAGCCTCCACCAGAGAGAATTTCTCACCCAAATTCCAGTTGTGCTCAGGTTGGGAAGTCCTGCCCTGGATGTATGTAGTCTTGTGTGACGGACCTGTCACACTGAGGTCCCCTAACCTGAAGGGAGTTGGCTGGGAAACAGGTGGGAACTGGTTTCTTTGGTTCTGAAAGGAAACCATTCACATGGGAAATCCTCCATCCGTATTTCAGAGGCAAATGAAGGGTGAGTGAGCCTGGAGGGGATTGGTGAATATGAGCCATGATTAGGAGTACCTTTTGGCCAGTGGAGAACTCTAAGTATCTCCATTCAGTGCCCCCAGGCAAGGACTAAGCAACACAAAATCAGTGAGTCCCATGACTGGGAAATTTACTTCTCATCTCATGTAGGACCAAAACAACAACAACGAAAGAAAGTTCTTCCTAATGTGACTGATCCCCCAGGACATCTTGATGATAAAATTATTACTGTAAACCTGGACTAGAGGATCAGCAAACTTCTTCTGTGAAGGGTCGGATGGTAAACATTTTTGGCTTTGCAGGTCATACGGTCTATGTCACAAATACTCAACTCTGCCATTGTCGCACAGTAGCAGCCAAAGACCATGGTAAAGAAATGGCATACCTGTATTCCAGAAGTACTGTGTTTACAAAAATAGGCCCATGTCAGATGCCTGGAGGCAGGAGGCTGCTATTTGCTTATCTGTGGTCTGGTGTGTGTGTGTGTGTGTGTGTGTGTGTGTGTGTGTGTGTGTGTGAGGTGATAGATTCTGTAATAGCTGTGACATGAGCAGATGCATTTTTATCTGCCCATCTTTGGTTTTATGGGAGAGGGTGGTTTATGCACAGGAACAGGTACCTAAACCAAAATGGTTTCCTTCCTGAGCTGATGATCGTAAAACAAGTAATGGCACAATCTTATATTCTAGTATCTCCCTCTGAAGTGGACAATGCAGGTTCTCTAATTTATCACCAAGCTTTGATTAGCCAAATGTGCTTATCATTGCCAATAGCCTTGGGGAATCCAAAAAAGGAAGGCCACAGACTATTGCTCTTAAGCATTCTTTTTGTTATTATGGTAATAAGACATAAACACATAACCACAGTGAATTCAAATACCCATAGATAATTTGTTAAAAGTGCTGGTGACACTTGGTTAAGCATTGAACATGCGTACTTTCTTCTGTTACCAAAATAAATTCCAGTTCTCTCAAATACTTAAATGTAAGCAAAATGAAGCCATAGTGTTAGAAGTAAACACAGGATGGGTATACATTTCTTATAATCGTGGAGTTGGGAGAAACTTTCTATTGAGAAAATGAACTCAGAATCCACAAGGAAAAGATCACATATGAATCACATATATTATTACACATAAGAAAACCTGCCATAAACAAAACCAAAAGGAACTGGATAGTTATTTTTAATACATATGACATACAAAGAATTCATTACTCAACTTTGTGAGCTCGTAAAAATCAGTAGAAAATGATGAATACCATAACAGAAAAGCCATAATTTATACAAGTACACACTGCCAGTTCATCTTATGCATCTGAGTAGATGCTAAGAAAATAAAGAAAAAAAATCTGGACCAACATCAATTAGACTCCATCACCTAGGGACAGGCCAGCTGCGGTCTTTGTTCCTCAGATTGCATGCCCTCCCGCCACTCCTTCTGAGGATGGCGTTGTCCTGGAACCCACCCTGAGACACCACATGGAGCCCCTCTGGTCTCAGCTGGACCCAGCTCTGAGTCGTCCCCAGGCCGAGGTTCCCAATGGCCGAGGGCACAAGGGACTCCTGCCCACGCGGGTGACCCCAGACTCCCCAAGGGTCTGCTGGCTTCCATGATAGAAGACACATAGATCCTTCTGCTCATGGCACAAAGCCATAAAGATCTTACTCAGAAAGGACTTACTATTTACAGAATTCCCAGGAGCCAGCGCGTGTTTTACAGGGAGCACACAGAAGCCTGGAGCCCCATACAGGAGATGGGGGCGGCCAGGCCTGCCTGTGACGGCCGGTGAGTGTCCGTGCCCACCACACACCCTGGGGCTGGCCCGTCTCTCCGCGGGCTGGAGGACAGCTTCCTGACATGCTCTGCAGAGGACGGCAGGGTCTTCCCGGAGCCCAGGCAGCCGAACATCTCCTGGGAGGCGTAGGTCAAGTACAGGAAGCCGTCTTCTCCCTGGTGGTCCCTGTAGACCTCTGCCATGGTCACACTCATGCTGACCAGGCTCTTATTTTAAGTTCACCAGCAAGTAAAAGGCTTCAGAGGCCCCGAGGACCAGGCGGCTCCTGGGTGGGCAGGGGAGGGGGCAGTACGGGGAAACATTAACCAGGCAGGGAATGGGCCCCTGACCCAAGGCCTGACTTACCTCTGTTTGTCCACTGCAGACATGTCTACCCAAGGAGCCCACCTCCCTGCTCTTACTTACTGCATGGTCCTCAAACTTGACAATGACCTCGGAGCACCTGCTGAAAATGTAGATTCCTACACTCCATACCCAGAGATTCTGATTCAGTTTGCCTGGACACAGCTGCAGGACCATGATGCTCGGGAAGACAGAATTGCCCCTATTCATTTCCTGCAGGTTTAAAATACCTAAGTCCTCCCAGCTGGGCCAAAAGGGTGGGGCCATCTTATCGTTTACTAGGAGACATGCCAATACAACACTGCTAAGCAAGTCAGCTCCTTCTTGTTCTGAAATGAAAGGTCTGTACATCCCCAGATGTACAAAGGTGATTACAATATCTTCCAGCACTTCACCGTTAAACAGCCTTGGAATGACTTTTACAAGGTCTCTGCTTCCAGCTGTGTCCTTCCCCCCTGCCCCTGGCCATCTCTCCCCCCACCTCAAGGAAATGGAGAAGCAGCAATGTTGCTGCATGTTGACATGTGGTAAATGACAAGGTCAGTCTGAGGCCTGGCTCGTCCTGGAGTGGAGGACAATGTGACGATGTAGACACCCGGGTAAGGGCTCTGGGTCCCCTGCAGCACACTTCCATGAGGCCCAGCTTGCCCACTCCTGGCCTCAAAGCTTTTAACTTTCAGGTCCATGTGGCTCTGGGACACAGGTGGCTGGATACCGATTAATTTTACAACTGGATAATCCCTCCCAAAATAGCCCCAGAGATTTTAGCTTTGACAATTGCATGCATGACAATTACCAAATTACCAAATTGCATGCATGTATATTACCAAATACTTAGAGTAAAACTGAAGTATTCTGTAATGGTAATGGGCGGAGCTGGGAATGAGTGTGTTGCCTTCAGCTCTGCAGGGAACCCTGCTCCTAGAGTCTGCACCCCTGTCTTCTGTCCTTTGCCATGCTCTCTTTCCATGGCAGTTGTGGCACCCCTTGGAGGGGGAGGCTGTGGGCAGGGATTTTTGTCTATTCTTTCACTGCTGTAAAGACAGAGCCCAGAAAGAACACAGAACATAAATGCTGCTCAATAAACATCCTGGAGCATCAAAGGCTGGGATGGAGAGTGGGTCAGGGCTGGTGGAAAGGAAAAGATGAGTCTTGTCTGGGATGGAGAAAAAGAATAGCTCTCAGAATTCAAAGGGTTGTTTCCAAGGGAGATGGGAGGGGAGGTCACCCTATGTTACATCAACATGTTGGGATATCATCCTAACTCTCATGCTCCCTTAGCCACCTCCATTCACACTGGGCCAACATAAGCTTCCCTAAGGAATGGAAATTGGGATGCTCTCAAGTAACTCATCAAGACAAACAAAACCAAGACCACACACATTCATAAGGAATTCCCCAAGCAGCAAGCAGCTAGGCAGCTGGCAAGGGCTGGACTCACCAGACATTTTATTTTATTTTTTTAATGTTTTATTTATTTCTGAGAGAGAGAGCAGGAAAGGGTCAGCGAGAGGGGGAGACAGAATCCGAATCAGGTTCCAGGCTCTGAGCTAGCTGTCAGCACAGAGCCCGACACAGGGCTCGAACCCACGCATCATGAGATCACGAACTGAGCTGAAGCCAGACACTTAACTGACTGAGCCACCCAGATGCCCCATCACCAGACATTTTCAACCCTGTGAAGAACTACCCACCAGATTATATTCACATTACTCCCAAATCATTTTTATTGAGTCCATGTGTCAGGTGAGACAACTTAACCCTCTGAAGCTTCAAAAATAGTTCCATTTTCTTTGCTGTGTCTTAACCCAAGGAAGGAGCATTTTGGGGGACATCTTCCCTGTTCTCCCTCCCAGAGTCTGAGCAGTGCAGGGAGTATTTGCCTTTTGAAGAGGCAAATTCTTCACTTCCCTGGTACACACACCATTTAAAGGTATTGTGTCTCTCCTGGGAAAATGCAGAGCGGGTTCTAAACAGCATGTAGAGTAAAAGATCTTTCGGGCTAGTTTCAGAGCCAAGACTACTTCTGAAACATCTTAGAAATGTTGGCAGCTCTTACACTTTTTAGATTTGTTATCTGTGGCATTCCCCCACCTGTTTTAGCTGGATTAATTCTCAGAGCATCTTTTCTGGGCATTACAGATACTAAAAGCTGAGTCACAGAGAAAACTTTTCCCCTCTCTTCCAGAATGCCCCCATCCTCAAAACCAAACCAACGAACAAAGCCAACAGAAAAAGCCCAGCACATGCACCCACATGTACTTTATTACCTACCAGATGTTACCTACCGGATGATGCTGAGGAACTGGGTCATGGTCAGCTCTTGAGGGACCAGGAACTTGGTCTTGTCCAGCAGAGGCAGGAACTTCTCTCTGGGGTAGCGCTCCACTATCACCTGTCAAGAGGGTCAACCCCTAAGAATGTGACAGAGCTTTCACCACCTTAGAAACTTAGAGCAGGGAGAGACAGTGGGGATGTTTTTCATTCTTCTTGTTATTTTGGAGGATTTTTGGTTGTTTGTTTGCTTTTTTCAAGAAACAGAGTATACTCCTTTTCAAAAAGCACAACGGAGCCTTACCGGGATCTTGTTTGGGAACTTTGCCCGGATTCCAGCAACCTCCTCTTGTCTGGTTGCTGTGAATATTTCAAAGACAAAATAATAAGTAAACAGCAAGAGAAGCCTGTATCCTCTTCCCTCCCTCTGTCAACCCAGACAGCTACTCTAAGTCCTTTACCTAAACTCTTCCTCTGCTTGAAGGGTCTGAGGCTTTGGGTTTTCTGTGGAGTCTGCATTTTGCTCAACAGCTGTGTCTGTGTCTGACCTTAAAAAAAAAATCCCACAACCAGGACCTAATTCATTCCTCCAGCTGCTTCCAAACCACCCGCAGGAGCCTAAAGGAGTCCCTTATGTAGGGCTGTGTGACATCAGGCATCTTCAAGCCGCCTTCCCCTCCCCCTCCCTGGGCAAGAGGAGGTCAGTCCTGAGAACTGATGGAACAGCCACCTGCTTGCTGGTCAGAGAAGGCCGCTTTGCTCATGATCAGTTCAAGACATTTCTTTGCTGGGGAAATTAGGGTTCACAATAAAATTAGGGGCTGTGTAATCAAACAGAGCAGGTCTGCACTGAAGACTCTCAAGAGGTCAAACAGCCATTTGCTAAGGACATTCTTGTGCTTCCATAATGCACCATCTTGAAGATGGGCCAGGATTGGGCCACCTGATGCTGAAGTGAGCTGCTTAATTCTCACAAGAGACCTTGCCGTTTTTCACAGAAAGAAACCTTTGATCAGAAAGGGAAAGGGATTTGCCCAAAGTCACATGGCTGGTAAGAGAGGCCGTTGGGATTAAAACTCAGAGTTGGTACAAAGAAGGGCTACACTCTAGTATATGCTGACATTTTATCTTCTCTGCAGGAAAGGAGGGAAGGAAGCCCAGTGACCCCTGAAATCTCCCTTTAAGAGATAAGAAACAGGGGTGCCTGTGTGGCTCTTGATGTCAGCTCAGGTCATGATCTCAGGCTCTGTGTTGGGCTCTGTGCTGAACATGAATCCTGCTTGGGATTCTCTCTCTCTCTCAAAAAAAAAAAAAAAAAAGAGACCCATAAATTTGCCTGGGATCCAATGGCTGGTAAGGGACAAAACAGATCTAGGTCACAGCATCCAGGGACTCTGAATGAGCAGAGGGTTCACATTCCCTGCACTTCTTTCCCAGCAGTCACTCAGCAGTGAAGAGTCTTTGCATGAACAGAGAGTGATAAGAAGATGATGGCACATCCCCTATGTTTGCTTCGTGAATCGAAGAGTGTGAGTCTCAGTGCTTTGTTCAATCATCAGGAATGGACATCAAGTGATTAAATGATGGCCTCACTGACAACTGGCCTCAGCCTCTCTCTCCCCCTCTGAGGCCCTTTAGAAAGGGCACATGCCCTCACAGGGCTGAGATCATGAGAAGCAGGTATGTACTGCACGTCTATAGTCAAGCAGCTTTCAAATGCACAATCTCACTTAAACCTCAGTCACCTTGTGGGTGGGAAGGGCAGGCAGAATGCACACTGTGCGGGTCCACACCCGGCGAGGTGCACCAAGGTGGGGGCCGCCCCAGACCATCCAGTTCCCGAGAGTGGACGCCACACCCAGGACCAGCAAAACTGGCTCCAGGCCTGGTCTCTAAGAACCACCTGAATTTCTGATCTTAGATAAATCACTTCACTTTACTGAGTATGGTTTTCCTTGTTGAACACTGATTATTTTTATCTGATTAAAATGATTTGTTTTACCTCATGCACAGTGGTTAAATGAGACTTGAATGAACTCATTTATGTGTAGGAGACTGCACAGGGCCTGGCACCAAATCCCCTGCACCAGGCCTCCCCAAATCCGCACGGTCTGGGAATGTGGATGTGCACTGAGGTTTGAAGGCTGAAGGAAATAGCTCTGGGTTCGGGCCAGGGGAAAATAAGTCCCAGCTGCAGGGACTTGGTTATTAGGGCTTTGAGATGTTTCCTAACTGAGCTGCATTTGGCTTTCTCAGCTGGCACCTGGGATTATCATCTCAGCCAGATGATGGAATGCGGGTGAAGGGGGTAACAGAATAAGGGACTTGGGAAGAAAAGAAAATGTGGCAATATTCATAGAGTGTATTGTCATTCAGGAAGAGAGGGGGCTAGATGATTTTTCTTTTGTGGAAGAGCTTCTGTTTTGAGGGGAGCAGAGCATCCGTGGGTGCTGTGTGGCCCCATCATGCTCCGGGAGCCAAGGGGCAGGACCCAGTAGGCTAGAAGGTGACTAGAGCCGCATAATGTTGATGCCGCAAGGACTATGGGGAGGGAGGTGCGAACAGCACATGGTAAGTGGCTGGAGCAAGAGTGCAGGTTTGATCCAGGGTCCTGGCTACCGATGTTTTAATAAACAAACCCAGCTTTATTCTTCTTAGAGCATTACCTGTCTTGCAGACAAGACACCCCACTCTCCTCCGACCTGGGGCCTGGGCAGTGGTCCAGGGAGATGTGGCTGGGGAGGGGGCAGGACACTTGCAGTTGGGATTAGGAAGACTTATTTCTCCCCATCGCCTGAAAATAGCAACAGGTACACCTTCCCTTGACTCTACCAGACATATAACTGTCATGGAAAGAACAGCTTTGAACATGGACTTGAGTCCCGAGTCTTGCTGACAAGTATGTTACTTCTTGAGCCTCATTTTATTCCTTAGTGACGTGAATATGCTTTTTTGCTCATCTCATGGGGTCAGGTGACAATAAAATGTGGGGGTCTCTGGGGTGTCCATGTACACGTGGAATGGCACAGTAGGGGCTCAGTAAACATGGGTTCTTTCACTACCCAAGTCCTGTAGCCTGTAGCCTAGTCCACTCTGCTCCTACTTCTGGAACCTTCTGCAAGAGTTGCTGGAGCTCACTCTTTCCACTGAGCTCACTGCCTGTCTCCTCCTCCAGCTGTGGTCTGGAGTCTGTCCCAACATCAATGTGTGCTCTTGGGAGGTCAGCAGTAACACATACAAACACCTCTTTTTTTTTTTTTTTTTTTTTTTTAGTCCTTGTTTTCTTTGATCTTTGATCCATCAGCGTCTTCTTCTGAAAAGTCTAATCTTCTGGATTCTAGGATTCCACTTTTTTGGGGATTCTTCTCCCATTTGTCCCCACTTCTGAAGCTGCGTGTTCTCCTTAAGTCTCCTATGGAGATAAGTGGAGTCTCCATTGGTCCAGAATAAATTCACATTTATTTATGTGAATAAAAATGTTCACAAAACATCTCCATTTTTCTTTCTTCTTTTAAAATTTTTAATGTTTTTTATTTATTTCTGAGAGAGAGAGAGAGGGAGAGAGACAGAGTGAGCAGGGGAGGGTCAGAGAGAGGGAGGCACAGAATCTGAAATAGGCTCCACGCTCCGAGCTGTCAGCACAGAGCCCGACGCGGGGCTCGAACACATGAACCGCGAGATCATGACCTGAGCCGACGTCGGACGCTCACCCGACTGAGCCACCCAAGTGCCCTGAAACCTTTCTATTTTTCTTGACCTGTGGCCATCTGCGGTTTGCATTGAGTGCCTGGAAGCCTATGGAAGAGCAGCGTCCACCCGGGATCCCCGTGCTTCCAACCCCAGTGCTGCCCTGAGCCCTGCTGCGTACAAAGCTTAGAGCCACCAGGGCTCCTGCCCCTTGCCCCTGATCTTGCCATGTCTCCTGTCCCACCTGCTCCTCACCTTGCTTCATATGCTTTCCTGGCATGATTTGAACCATTCCTGAGGAGTGAGGTGACTCAGTTTCTTCAATGTGATTAAAAACAAGCCTGTCTCTGGGCAAATTAGATGTCTGGGGCTTAGGGAGGGACTAGAGCAGATCCGCTTGGCTCTCCAGTCCCGTCCTGCTGTGGCTGCTCTTATTCATCCTTCCTGGAGACAAGAGTTGGTTCTCAGGAATCAGGTGTGGAAAGTTACCACCATACGGAAGTGACTTGTGTGTATACCTCTGAGAAGTGGCCGCTGCAGGTTGGAGGGCTTGAGTAGAAGGAAGTCTCCATCAGTGTGTCCATTTCAGAGAGGACAGGTTCTGGAGGTGTCTGCAGAAGGTCACCTGACTCCTCCAGGGAAACTTGCCTGGACTTTGTGGCTTCACAGCGGCACCAGGGGTAGCCAGATGGGACATGTGTGACAAAGGGGGCCTGTCTGCTGCAGAGATGCCTGAAACTTCCCATCCTAAATAAGACTCACTCCACATGGGAAGGTGATGCTCACATCCACGAGGTAGAAGCTGAAATTCCAATTCACTTCATTCCATTCTATTTTCTTCATCAAGAGCCCTGTAAAGATGCTGCCTACCAGCAAGACTCGTTTATCTGATCAACAGATGAAAATACTTTGAGTCAGATCATCAAAGGAAATAGATGTTTCTGGTTCACAGCCCCAAATTAGCCACTGAACGATGAGGTCACTTGAACTCAGAATTTGCTTAGTTAGCCTGTGAAATCATTTCAGTCCTCGTACTTTGATATCCCGGCCTTAGGACAAAAGTAATCCACGATAGCTATTCAATGACTGAGGGCAAGACCCTGCCTATCTGTGCAGCCTGAGCACCTAGCACAGAGCCTGACATACAGTTCATGCTCTGTAAAGTTAAATGGATTTATCTGAATGCAAATGGCTGACACAGAGAGGTGCCCACACAGTGGCATTATCCGAAGCCCTGCACACAGGAAAGGCAAACTCCTAACCAGACTATGTGTTGGTTACAGTCAGATCAACTGCAGCTTCTTCTAGCAGTGAAATGAAGCCAATGGCATCTGTTGTCATTGGGTGACTGGGTGGCCTCCTTGGGGACTCCATGTTATCAGGGCTCTGGCATCAGTCTCCATTGGGCGATTCGACATTTGGCAACGGTGCAGTGGTAGCTAGGACTGGTGGGTTGGGATTCATGCTGCTGGGGCCTGTGCCTACCCTCCATCTCACAGAATTGCCACCATGGATATTCTTTCATACAGTCATTGTTCCAATCCTGGGAAAAGTAGGTGTAGTGGCCAAAGTCAACTGGATGACTGGCCATATCATTCTGTGTCCTTGGTTGTTTAATCCCTCCTTGGTGATAGATCTCTGTTGGCATTCACCTGTGTTATAAAGATCTCCATGCTTCACATCTATGTCTGTAGGTGGGTCCTCATACCTCTTTCCTGGATGTCCCTGTCCCCGTTCTTCAGGTGTTCTACTTACAGCCCCTGACCAATCAGTCAGGACCTCTGCCACTGCCCTGGAGTCTGTATTTGTCCCAAGTGAATGACTGGGTGCAT